CAGTGCCAACCACCCTCTGGGGGAAGAACCTTTTGCTGAGATCCAACCTGACCCTGCCCTGACACAGCTCCAGCCATTCCCTGGGTGCTGTCCCTGCTCACCAGAGCAGAGATCAGTGCCTGCCCCTCTTCTCCTCATGAGGAAATTGTAACTGTGATGAGATCTCCCCTCAGTTTCCTCTTCCCCAGGCTGATGGGGACAGGAAAGGTGCCACCCAGTGCACTGGCTCTGAACAACTCCCCATGGGATGGCTTTGCCACAGGCAGGCTGGGAAGCTCCCATGGAAGGAGGGGGCTGATGCTTTGGGGTCCCTGTGCTGGCAAAGTGCTGCTGGTTGTGCTCAGCATTTCACCCTCAAGTTTTGGGCTCCTGTGGGTCACAGCTGGAGTGACCTCCAGGCAAAGCTGTGAGGCCACGCCCTACCCAGCACCAAAATCCTGGCCAAGGAGGGTGGAGAAGCCCATGGAAGTCAGAGCTCAGATTTTAGCCTGCCCTGGGATGGGGCCATAAAGGAGAGAAGGGCCAAGAAGGTTTGCTGCCTCACCCACCGGGCACCCAGTGTCCCCACAGGTCGGGTGCTGAGGAAAACCTTGGGCTCTGGGAGCTGCAGAAAACCCTAGGAATTGTCAAATCTCCTTAATTAGGGTTTCATATCTCATGTGCACGACCACATCAGCCACTGCATCTGATGTGGGTGTTTCCCTGTGGGCAGGGTGACACCGGTGACGTTGGAGACCCAGGAGAGCCAGGACCACGGGGACGGAAGGTGAGCAGTGTCCCCAACTCTGTCCCTCCTTCCAGCACCTGGGAACATCCACAACCTGCTCACCCTCTGCTGATCCATGTGCCAGAGTGGGGACAGAGCAGGACAGGGGTGTCCCCGTGGCTGAGGATCCCTGGAAATGCCTTTCCTGAGCACCCCAGGGTGACCTGCTGCCTGTGGCACCCAACGAGGGGGTGAAACATCATCTCCATGCAGAGATGACTCTCATTTCATTGCTGTTCCTTTTCCACCTTTGTGGTGACCCCTCTGTGTCCATCCCTGAGCAGGGTGATGCTGGTCCCAGGGGCCTCCCTGGAGTGGCTGGTCCAGGAGCTGCCACGGGGGAAATCGGAGGAAAAGGCCCAAAAGGAGAGAAGGGCCGAGAAGGTTTGATGGCAAGTACAGAGGGGGGCTGAGCTGGGCTGCCTCACTCAGTGTCCCCACAGGAGGGGGCCTGGGTGCCCTGGAAGGGGCTCATCCCCAGTGGGAAACCTTGGGCTCCAGGAGCCACAGAAAATCCTAGGAACTGGCAAATCTCTGTAATTGGGGAGTTTTGTTTCATGGGCATGACCCCAAAATGGGATCATGTTGGCACAAAAGGATGGTTTGGGCTTGGGGGGCTGCCCAGGATTCCAGGATAATGCTACCTCCAGCCAAATTCCAGCCCCTGCCAGGCTGGGACCCTGCTGAGAACATCTCCCTGTGTCCCAGGGCCAGGTCGGGGTCACTGGAGCTGCAGGACCTGCTGGAGCCAGAGGATGGTTTGTAAGTCAGATCATGGCCCTCCTCCCCTTCAACCCATCACCGAGCTGGTGTGGAGACGTGGGTGTCACTGGGAGCACTGGGAAGGGCTCCAAATCCATCAGGGACCTGTGTGTGACTGGGAGCACTGGGAATACCCCCACCTCCATCATGGACCTGGAGGGGGATGTGTGTGACTGGGAGCACTGGGAATACCCCCACCTCCATCATGGACCTGGAGGGGCCTGTATGTGACTGGGAGCACTGGGAATACCCCCACCTCCATCATGGGCCTGGAGGGGATGTGTGTGACTGGGAGCACTGGGAATACCCCCACCTCCATCATGGACCTGTTGGGGAATGTGTGTGACTGGGGGCACTGGGCAGGGCTCAATCAATGGGGCTTCTTTGTGCCCTGAACAGGGTGGGACAGGACTCCGAGGTCCTCCTGGGCTCGACGGTCCCGAGGGAGAGAAGGTACAGTGGGATTGATGGTTCCAACCCTCCATCTCAGGGTGAAATGCCCTTTCCTGGCCTTTCCCAAGCTCTGCTGGTGCTGGGTGTGGTGGGACTGGCTGGAGGAGCTGGGTCAGGCCTGGGCAGGCTGGTGACTGGGCTGGGGGGACCTGCCAGGGGACACTCCTGCCTTGTTGCCCAAGATCCAAAGTCAGCAAGGCAAGGAAGGAGTTTTCCAAGGATAGAGCTGTTTCCCTTTCTTCCCCAGGGAGATCCAGGACCACGAGGCACAGATGGACCTGCTGGTGCTGCAGGATTAGAGGTACTGATGTTTGGGGTGTTGTAGAACTGGGGAGCTGCCAAAGGCTTTTCCAGTGCTCCACCATTTCCAGTACAAACCAAAGCCAAAGGATTTATTGCCCCTTCCCTGCCTGGGCCAGGAGGGGTTTTTAAGCCTTGGCATGGGCTCCCAGGAGGTGCTTTGATGTTTGGGGTGGAGACACAAGACCCTTTCAGTCTGTCACCCAGGGGTGCCTCATGGAAGACCCATTCCTGCTATGGAATCTGTTCCTTCCCACATGTGCCTGCTGCTTCCTTGGCCAGCTGAGCATGGTGTGAGGGGGGAGGATGCTCCAAGTGCCCTGAGAGGTGAAGGACATGGTGGTGATGGGCTTGTCTTAAACCCTTAACACTCCCACAGGGACTCGCTGGAGATGATGGAGTGAAGGGAGATGGTGGCAAACCCGGTCCAGTGGTGAGAACCAGCCAAACTTCCCTGGGACAGAGGTTTGGTGGCCTTTTGGGATGGAGCAGCAGAGCCTG